CTGACAAGCACCATGAACAATGAACATACTATTGTTTCACACCAGAACCAATAAGCTCTTTCAGTATACCAAGAGAGGGCGAGACGAGTGAGTTCAAAAGAAATAGCATCTCTCCAGCCACTACAAACACCAGAAGCAATGATCAATGATCACAGTCCGATCATTTACATAAGCTGATCCTAATGAGAAGCTTCACGAGGATGTTTTTTCCCCTCAGTCATCACAATTCCTTCTTCATCTTCATCTTCTCGAAGCATTGGTTAGGATTCTCAGATGATCTTGTTTTCATGAATTCACTCAACATATGTGATACTCAAAGCGGTTTCTTTGATGCTACGACTATAAAAGAGTTGAGATTAGATAAACTGAGAAATGAAAAATAAGCAGCTTTTGAATTATGAACTTGAAAGACAACAAATGTAGAGAAATAAGTTGTTTCTAAAAGAGCTTATTGGTTCTGGTGTGAAATAATAATATGAATTATGTATGAGCAAAAAAGCTGTTACATATTAATTACCTCGAGGAAGATGGTTAACTTATTTTACAAAATTTTAAAAAACCAATCGTTTGAGCTTACCATGAGAAAGTAGAATTGACACGATGATCACAGAAGACATAAAAATCAATAAAATTGGAATTAAATTATTGTCAAGATGAAAAGATGGAAACCTTTCTTCTTGGATTTTTGCTTGTGGATTTTAGTTCTATTGTATCGATCGATTATTTGGTAATATTGTTCTACAAAGTACTTTCATAACATATTTGTTTATTGTTGAAGTTACTTTGTGTAGTGGTTGATAAAAGATAATTTTTGAGAAATGTTACTTTTCAAAAATGTTTTCTTTAAAAAAAAAAGTTATTTTTTCAAAAAAATTGCAAAAATGCCGCTTTTCAAAATTATTAACTTAATATATCATTTATATTGAGAAATTTTGAAAAATGCAATTTTTGAAGTTTTTGAAGTGTCACTTTTCAAAAAATGCCACATTTTTAAAATTTTTGCAAAAATACCATTTTTCAAAATTATTTATTCATTATATTATCTATGTTTGAGTTAACTATGTTGTATTAAGGTTTAATTTTAAGGATTTAGGGTTTCTTAGGGGTCA